TTATTTTACATGGAAATTATCCATTAAAATGATTTTTATTTTTTTTTTTACAATTGGTTATGAAATTTGTTAACATTGCCAAAAAGTAAAAAAAAAAACAGATTTTTGCTCGAAAACTATTTTTTCATCAAAATTTAGTGTTCGTTTGGCTTCATTTTATATGAAAAATTGTCCACGAAAGTAAAATTTTTTTTACAATTGGTTATGAAATTTGTTTCCATTACCAAAAAGTAAAAAAAAAAAATTACGTGCAGCAGTGGGAAAAGCTTTTCCCAAATTATGGGGAAAACAGGCGCGTGGGTGTTGTCCCTAGAAAAAAAATTTCTTGTAAAAAAAAAAAAAAATCCCCTATCAAACACTACTAAAAGTGGAAAATGGAAACCATCCCTAGAAAAACTCACCAATCAAACATGCCCTTATATTTTCTTATAAAGGAAAGAAGAAAAAGTAAATGAAAAATAGAATTTTAATATGAGATAATTTTGAAGTTTAGTGTTCACAGGTCTAGTATATCCTAGTGCAAACAAAAGAGAAATTCGGGAAAATAGAATTCAATATTGATTCTCACGACAGTGCCAAGAATCTGACCAAAACGGACTGGTTCTCGATGAATAATACCAAAATCGACTAATTTAGTAGTGGAACCGAAACCGAATCTACCGATTCTATCCTGTTCCAAAAAAAAAAAAATGTTCATCCCCATTTAATTGTTAAGTTTGGATCCTTATTACATGAAAAAAGAAATTGATAAAATCCTAACAACACGTTTTAAACTTGGCAGGGTACTCGGGACCACGTTCGTGGTATAAAGTATCCTTCACATATACTTTTTTTTTCTTTTCCTTAATCATTTTCTCTAGTTGTAGACAACAAATAATTTTGAGATTCACGATGGGAAATTCAAGTTTTTATCCTTCACATATACTTTTTTTTTCTTTTCCTTAATCGTTTTCTCTAGTTGTAGACAACAAATAAGTTTGAGATTCACGATGTGAAATTCAAGTTTCGTGAAAGCTACTCGTCATATGGATCACATTCGAAAAATAATAAAGTCGTCACCTACCAAAAGTAAAATCAAGTGTCAATCATAGAATCAAATCTAATGATTAAATTGTTTATTCGTATGCAGTGATCGGTCTATAATTTTTATTTTTACTCAAAATGACATTGACCCACAAATGAAATTATGAAAATTAGAAGCCAAATGAATGCTCCAAGAAATATAAAATTGAATTTTAATTGTCACATAATTCTACAATTATGGATAATTAGACCTACATGGACACGTGGTGTATAATTATTGGGAAACAAAAATAGTGGATTCTACTAATTGTCCAATTACGTAATTTGTCGTGTGACAACAATAATTAGTGATCTGACGTGTATCCAGGTCAAGAGTTGGACGGTTAAACGGGTTGAATTGAAAACTCGAAGGCGTCGGTTTTGATTTTTACACGTGGATCCAACGGCCTCTGACGTAATCATGTAACATTGGTGATTTTAATAATGCAATCCGAGGTGGAATGTTTGTTTCGTGGAAGGATGGGAGTGGCTATGGTAAGAAAATATCTTGTGTACAAGGAACCAAAAAAATCATTGATGGTAGAAATTATATAAAAGGTACTTTGAAAATTATTGAGGCAATTTAAAACATGTTTTCATTGAAATCACGTAAAGATATTGGTTTATCGATGTTTGTTACTTTAAACACGCGTGATTTGTGGAATCGAATGTCAGTTAAATAGTTCAATTATTGGACAACTAGGTGATGTAATTGTCGGTTCTAAGTTTGATAGTTGAGATGGAGTATTTTGAAAGTATTTTATATAATTATATGTGAGCGTTAATGTAATTGAAGTTAATAATTATGTGGTATTTTTGTATAATTTTCATCGACAATTGGCTATGATGTAATTACTTGTCTGGTCAAACTTTTTATTCCCTTGATTATGATCGTACACCTACTTTGAGAATCTCTTAGATTCTTGTTGGGGTCGAATTAGTTGACACGTTTGAAAATTAATAGTGGTTGTTATTCTGAGTTGAAAGTTTTACCGAGTTTCCTTTACTGAGTTTCCATGTCTTTGAATGTTCGACTTACATGTTGGAATAGTTAGTTAAACTTTAAGGTAGGCGTCGAATGGGTTCTCATTAATGGGCAGCGGTCGGATCCTTAAATTCTTGATGGGCATCGACTTTGCTTCTCGAACATGCTTTTGTCAAATTAATTACCTAAGTTGATCGATAAGAGGACTAGAATCAAGGTCTTGTACTCGGTGTTCTTGTTTAGTCTCTAATCAACTCAAGAATTGACAAATTTTTATGATAAAATTCAAATTCATTGATTAGGACTAACATTAATCATAGACAACATCATACGCTAATGATTTGAGTAGCCACATTCTAGTTATATATATAAATATAACACGAGTCATGTTAAGTCAAGTCACGACATGGACAAATATCTACTATTCGAGTCTTGACGAAGTATAGTGGTGTTAGGTGCACATGGCCCCCTTGTGGATATGTTGAGTTGTCCATCTATACATCCACTTTTTACCAAATCAAGTGAGAGAGCTGTTGTTTTTAGACCAGTTAAACATGACCTAATTCTTCATTTTATTTTAATTTTTCTAAAATATATTTTATGTAAAAATGAAGAAATAAACACACACAAGTGGAAAGTTAACTTTTGACCAAATCAAATTGCCCACTTCTGTTGAAAAATGCTGGATGCATCTAAAGAGGAGGACAGACATGATGCTGAAAGTGTGGAAACTTACCAGCTATTTGATGTATACGTGCCAGCTATTGTTTGTTTAGGAGAGTTTGTTCAATGTCCTCTACCATCATTCTTTAAGTTGTGCGAACAACTCAATCAATTTAGTTCGTCATTACGTAATGACACGTTTGATGCACTGAATTATACATATTATTCAATTTTTACTTTGAACATGTCCTGACCATGATTTGAAGTCGCAATCATGTCTAGTTCAAGATGTCAATGCATGAACAGTAGCCTGTATGAAAAAATTACACGACACTTGTAAATTGTGTAACACGAAGATAAACATTATAAAATTCTTCTACAATGAAGGAACTATATATTTGCGTTATGCCACTTGATATACAGACTTCGAGCGCAACAGAGTTACTTCTTGAACATTAGTTCTAACTGCAAAATTATACGAAAAATTAATGGTGGGTGAAAATTCTTAAAATAAAATATATACCTAAAGGTAGACCTCTTTGAATAGATTCATTGTATAATTTTATGTTAATCAAGTCATCATGTGACATTGATTAAGGTTA